AAAAAAAAAAAAAAAGCATATGGTGTTTTCTTATGATTAATATGTTTGAGTCGAATACTCATTTCTTTTAAGTTTAAACTATGAGGAAATAGCTTTGTTTAAAGCTGTGTGTAAATAACTTCGCAGGCTAAGTGTCTTGAAAGTGGAGAAACAGTAGCTATCAAAAAGGTGTTGCAGGATAAGAGATACAAAAATCGTGAACTGCAGACGATACGCCTTCTTGATCACCCCAATGTTGTTTCACTCAAGCACTGCTTCTTTTCTACCACAGACAAGGATGAGCTTTACCTCAATTTAGTTCTTGAGTATGTGCCTGAGACAGTGTATCGTGTGACAAGACACTATAGCAAAGCAAACCAGCGGATGCCTATGATTTATGTCAAGCTTTATACATATCAGGTCAGCCAACTTGAATAGGTTGTATAAGTTTAACCATTTCATGATTGTAGATATGTCCTCTAAGAATCTTTCTTCTTTCATTCATCTTTTTAGGGGTTGTTTGAGCCCCATTTTATCAAAAAATGCATTTTGAAAGTGTTACGATGGAGAATGTGTGGTTAAAAAATAAGGAAAAATTTTGGATTTGCGGCTAATATTATTTTATTGAAAAATGTGTAGTTTAAATGGTGTCAAATCACCATTGAAGAATGTATTTTGATGGAAAAGTAGGCCTCAAACAGGGGCTTATTTTTGGTCCTTTTTCAACTGAATAGGCTTTGATGACTGGTCTTTTGCACTAACTCTATTATACATCCCTATTTGTATGCACTTATTCCATACGAGAGGAAAACCAAAAAAATAAAGCAGATGATGCCAGTTATTCTTTTCTGCTCTTGCACCCTTGCTTTTCAATTCTTTTCAATCTTGTTGTCCAAATTTGATTATCCTAATGGCTATTTATGCATGCACATTTGCATATACTGCATTAAATTCTAGAGCGTGCAGGCATTTATTTCTACTTGGAAAAAATAATAGTGTGTGATTTTCAATACTGATTTTTCATGGTCTTTGCATATGCTCTTTTGCCAATTCCTCCCATTTTTCTGGGGAAGTAGCTGTAACATTTTAACATGCAGATAAGTCCATTTTGAATGCACGTGCATAGTAGCAAGTTTCTCTGCAATGTTACTTCGGATCTCGCATTACACATATATCATGTTAGGAGTATCTTTTGAGAAGTTAATGTGATTGTTTTAGTTACATATTGTATCCTATGAACAATAGTCTGCAATCTCAAAGTCTCTTCGTTTATCGGCTTTCTTTGTGTCAACAGATTTTCAGAGCTCTTGCATATATTAATGGGATTGGAGTCTGCCACAGGGACATCAAACCTCAAAATCTTCTGGTGTGTATTTAAGTTTTTATGCCTGTGTACACATTCTGACCTAATGATGTTTACCCATATAATTTGTTGTTGCAGGTCAATCCACACACTCATCAGCTCAAACTCTGTGATTTTGGAAGTGCCAAAGTTTTGGTAATGACAATATGATATAGTTTTCCTGAGCGATTGAATTAATGCCTTGCTGACATTGAAAAAATTTGTTCCCAAACCAACCAGTGAACCATATAAATTTATTTGTGTGAAACTTTCTTTGAAGGACGAATTTTTTTTATTATGATTTGAATGGAACTTTCGAGTTGTTCAAATATGGTGCACTAACCAATTTGTAAGCAGTTCTTAAGATTTTATCATCATTGAGCATG